AGCCCTCGAGGCAAAGGCAGGGCTCGTCACGGGCGAATGCGCAGGCGCACTGGTCGCCAACCCCTGCGGCGACTGCGTTCGACACTTAGTCGAACGCCCGAGAAAAGTAAGACGCGCAGATCACGCGTGCACGATATATTATGATGCGCGCTGCACAAGCTGGCTCTAACAGTACCGCATGCGCGAGAACTTACAGTGTAAGAGCCTCACCCAATTGCATATCGACTGTCACCCGTTCCAGCCTGTATCTGAATTGAACCTCAGTTAGCGTTTCAATACTCCTTCATCTTCTCATAATGCATCCTCGAGAGCTTGTCCGCCTGTTTCTGCGCCCTGTCGACGAGCTCGCCGAGGTCGCTGGTCAGGGTCGCCAACTGGACATCCATCTGGGCAGGGTCATCGTAGCTCGCCTGAATCTGCTTTACATTCTGGCCGATAAGCATGGTCGCGATGGGATTGGAGAACACATACTTGATCATGTCGTCGTTGGCTTTCGTCATCGGCTCCACCAACACGCTGTCTTTCAGCCACGACCAGTCGGGAGAATTTGCAATCTGGGCTGAGATGCAAGCGATCGAGGAGCTCGCCTGGCCATGCGCCACCTTCAGCTGCTGCGCATCCTTGATCTTGGCCCTCAAGTCCTTAGAGGCTGAAGCGTCGGCCTTAGCCTTAGCCTTAGCTTTGCCCTTGCCCTTGCCCTTCGGCGTCGCAGGTGCTGGCTTCGGCGACGGAGCCTGGCCCCTCACAGACTTCCTCGACCTCTTGTTGGGCGGTTCCCTCGCCTCGTCGCCGACGGCGGCCTCCTCCTGGGCCGCGCGCGCCGCGGCGGCTGCGGGCTGAGCTGTGGGCGCAGCTGGACCTGCGGGCGCAGCTGCGGGCGCAGCTGCGGGCGCAGCTGCGGGCTGAGCTGCGGGTGCATATGCGGATGGAGCTGCGGGCGCAGGTCCGTTGCCGCTGCACGAGGCAGCGCTGACCGCCGCGCCGCCGCTTGCAGATGCCGGCGCTGCACCTGCAGCTGCGCGAACTGGCTCGAGCGTGGTACGCCCTTCGGGCTCAGCGAATTCTGCAAGAAGGCGGCCTCTGTTCTCCTCGCGCTGCGTAGTCTGCCAGCACTGCGTGAATATATCATTGTACTGCTGCTTCACGTACAGGAACTCCATGGCTCTAGTCATGACGTTGAAGCGGTACCACTGGGTGCCCATCATGACGCACGCGTATGCGTAACGCCAGGCACGCTCAGCCGCCTCTTCGGTGTTTCCCTCCTCGACTTTGATCCTGTCCAGGGGGTGGTAGACGCCCGTGTCTGCAGTCGCGACCTGATGGCGATTGATCATCTCGCGGCTCTTCCTGTGCATCTCGAACTTTGCCTTGCACCACTTCTGCCTGAAAGCCTGCTTCGCGCGGTTGCCCCTGCACTCGAGCCACGACTTCTTCAGCTCCTTATCCGAGGCCAACTCCCTCTGGAAGCGCCAGCCCAGAGGGCTGCGAGCATTGATCTCGAAATTGGTCATCTCGGCCTCCTCCAGGTGGGGATCCCTGCCTGCGTCGTCTTCGCCATCGAGCTCATGCTTGTCGTAGCGGCCCCTCCCCATCTGCTGGCTCGACAAGCTGCGCAGGAATTCTTCCTGGCTCATGCCCTCTGGGGCGCGGGGGGGGCCGTCGGGCGGGCCGTCGACGGGCGGGCCGTCGGGCGGGCCGTCGGGCGGGCCGTCGGGCGGGCCGTCGGGCGAGCCGTCTGGCGGGCCGTCGGGCGGGCCGTCGGGCGGGCCGTCGGGCGGGCCGTCGGGCCCCTCGGCTGCCTTGCCTGGCAGCGCCTCGACCCTCTGCCAGAATCCCCTGTCTGCTGCCACGACTTCGCTGCACTGCTGTTCCGACGTGCCCTCGCGCGGAAACGTGGGCCTCGACAAGTGCGCGGGCGGCTGCGATGCGGGGGCTTCCGGAACGGGGGCTCTGGCGGCAGCGACGTCGCGTGGGTTGCCTGGCGCTGTGAAGGTCCCCTCACGCTGGCTATCCCCAAGGAGCGCACCTTCGGGCCCTTGCTTGTTGAGCTGCCCGCCGCCCTGCCCATCAGCTGGAGCTTCGGGGGAGTCATGGACCTCAATGGGCGCGGGCGGGGCGGCCTCTGAGGGTGTCTGGGGCGCACTCGCTGCCGAAGGCGTCACAGCTGGAGTTCCTCCTGCATTGGACCCCGATGCCGTCGTGGAGACAGGGGAGGGGGCGCCCGCCGTGACCTTGTCGAGGCTCTCAACCAGGACTGTCATCAGGAGAGGTCGATCCTCGAAAGTGTGATGCGAGGTTCACACAACAGGACGCCGCAGTGCGTCCAGCTAGAACTGAGAAACAACGGCGATGGTACTGTGAACTATGGTTGGCTGCGTGATGCGTGCTGTCACATGTTGCATTATGTGCAATTGCATGCTTTGCCAGTTGTCTTTCAGCTCTGTGCTTTCTGCTTATGCTGCGGTGTTGTATATGCTGCGTGCTTCCTGCTTGTCTATGAGGTTGGCCGTGCGATTTCGTATGATGCAACGTGCGTAATTGCATGCGTTGCCAGTTGCTTCTGTTTTGCGCGGCATACGCGTCGACTCTTTCGAACAACTCTCTTTGCCCCCTCCTTCTCACCCCCAATTATCCTACTCTGGGGGCGGGGCAGAGGAGGGGGGGGGACGAGGAGGAGGAGGAGGAGGGGGAGGAGGTGGATGAGGAGGAGGAGGAGGAGGAGGAGGAGGAGGAGGAGGAGGAGGAGGAGGAGGAGCAGCAGGATCATGAGCAGGAGCAGGACCAGCAGCAGAGGCAAGAGCAGAGGCAGAAACAAGAGCAGAAGCAGGCGCAGGAGCAAGCGCATGATGAGGCGAGCCTATCTCCCCTCAAGCGATCATGGCCCCGAGTTCTTCCCAACCGATTATTGCCTCGAGCTCCGCCAGCCCTTCGGCTGACATGGGGGGGTCGCGGGGGCGGCGGAGGCGGCTGGGGTGGCGGGTTCCTAAGGTGCCGAACCCACTCAATCCACTGCCCGTTATTTTCATAGTATGCTGGCACAACGACTTCTTCTTGGGTAAACCACCCACGCGGGCCAAGCGACGGTTGGGGCGGAGGATGCTCGGAACGGGCAGGTGGACAAGAAGATCAAGATGGAGTGGATAAGGGCAGACGAGAAGGAGGAGGAGGATGATAAGGAGGAGGGGGGGAAGACCTTCTTCTGAGATATCAGCAGGGTGGCGTAAGCTATTTGAATGCGCTCAAGAACCAACCGAAAAGCTCCTACCCACTACCAGGTTTCTGGCCCTGAAAAAGCCTTAGTGGGCAAGAGCGTGTTTCGCGTTGTTGGACCGAATCGCTGGATTTCCTTTGGGGTCGGTATCAACATGCCTGCTTGAATCCCATCAGCCCTCTGGGCGTCGGTGGTTTAGAGCGTTTCCTAGTCCACCCCTCCTTCTTCCCCTTCGGGGAGGGGCTTGCCCCCCCCCATGCCCCCTCCCCTGGGCCTGGACGGGGGGTCCGCGAGTGCGCCCAAAACGACTTCGGCGAGGAAGCCACAATCATTGGTTGTATTATGGTTTGGGCCCCATTTTGGCATCCTGGGGGTGCTGTAATTAATGCCCCCCCTCCTGATCGATCTCACCCAAGATGGCCCAACGACTGCCCCCGAGGCTCCCAAAGGTGCCCCGAGAGGGCCCCAAGGTGGCCATGAAGCTCCAAGAGGCCTTCAGGACGCCCCCACGAGGCCCCCAAGAGACCCCGAAGAGGCCCCAAGAGACCCCGGAAGCACCCAAGATGCTCCAAGAGGCCTCGGCGAGAATGCCAAATCATTGATTTTATGAAGGTGTTAGCAACATGTTGGCCTCTGGGGGGGGGGGGGCTGCTTAAGATGACTCCAAGAGCGCCTGGGGGAGCTCGAGATGACCTCCAAGATGGCCCAATATACCCCAAGATGTCTCATAATGGCTCCCTCTGCGTGCTGCCCACTTCCCTGATCGAGGCAATTCCTCTGGGCATTGGTTCTGGATGGGCTGGCGGGGATTCGCGAAGCGTCAACCATATTTTTTCACGAGCTTGATGTCCCATTGGGCGCCACGGCACTTGCGGCAGCAGGTGGCAATCTCACGGAGGCAGAGTGAAACGTGTGATCTCTCTTTCTCGGAGAGTCGAGCCCCTCTCCCCGACCCCCCATTCGCTTTAGGGGGGGCCCGCCAGTTGTGTCGATCTGCGTATCGCCAGGTTCTTGGGGCCCCTTGGGGCGCTCCTCGCACCAACCTCCTCACCTACACCCTTTCGGTCTCAACCGCACCCATCTTCTGGACCCTTCCCTCCTCCGCTCCTGCGCCGCCACCTCCCCCAACTCCCCTCCCCCGTTCCTCTCCCTTGTCTGGCGGGGTTGGGGGTAGAGGCTCAGGCCCTTCGCGCCCATCTTTGCGCCCCAGAGAACAGAGAAGCAACGCTCCATGGTCCAATGCCCATGGTATCTCGCATGCCACGCGTGCTGTGACATTTCGTCCAGGAGGGGGCAGGGTCTCGAGCAATCTTGACGACGCTGACGGTATAGCGATTTTCTCAGATTCATCATTATCGTTCTCCGTGTTTTCCTCCGCCGTCTGTTTGTCATCCTGTTTCCAACGATTATCCTTTTCCCTACCCTCCTCAGCTGTGTTTCGTAATGCTCGTGTGTCGTCATGCTCGTGTTTCGCTCGGCTGTGGTACGTTTGGCTTCAAGTGTTTGAGGTTCAATCGCCCCCCCTGGAAACGCACCTGGAGTGCGTTGGAAAGCTTCGCTGTCTGCCCGAGCTCGGCAAACTGAAAGAACTGAGCGCGAGAGGAAAACAACATAACACACTTGAGACGAGAGCACTAGCGACGCAGTGCGCACCAGAATGAACGCAAATGTACACAACACAGAAATAGGAAGGCTCAAGAGATCGGTGGGCTCAGCTCCCCCGCCAAGCCACCTGAAAATCCCTCTCGCACATTGACCAAACTCATTGTGGCGACATGCCGTGCACGGTTCACGCATCATCATCGTCAAACGCATTGTTCCAGAAATCAGAGCACTCAACAACCTCGTCAATCATGGTGTTCAGCGAGGTGGTCATACTCTCCCACGGGCCAATCAATGGAGGCGGGATCTCTCGGATATCATCGGGGCTATCGTCCGCGGAGTCGTCGTCGATGGGTTCGACGACCTCGCTCGTGGGCTCGCCCGTCTCCTCCGGTGGCCCCTCCTTTGCTTCCTGGGGGTTCTCCAGCGGCTGAGGCTCCTCCTTGCCCTCATGGGGCTTCTCCTCGGGCTTCTTCTCGACGATCGTCAGGTTCTCCACTCCCTCCATGGGTGCGCCCTTCTCCTCGGTGGCTGCTTACTTGTCGGGCTCCTCGTGTTTGGCTTTCTTGCAAGCTCTTTTGGGGGCGGCAGCTGGGCGCTTCCGCACCGCCGTCTCCGCAGGCTGCGCCTCGACGGACGAAGCTGCGCTGGTCGCAGCCAGTGCCGCCGCCTTCTCGTCCTTCTCCTCGCGTTTCTTCAGCTCCTTGAGCTTCTCCCTCTTCAGCTGCTCGGCGTCTTGGGCGGTGAGGCGCCCCTCGCAGTAGCGCTTCGCGATGTCCTTCATGAACTCCACCGCCTCCGCCTCCTCGACTGCGCGCGTGGAGATCTGCGTGACCTGCTTCAAGTTATGCTTGATCTGAATCAGCTTGATCCCCCTATCCATCACAAACTTGACCTGCACCTGGAGGCCGTCCACGTTGCCCGTCCACAAGATGTTGCCCCCTCGCGGCGTCTTCGAGGGCTCATGTCCAGCATCCTCGAGAAAGGTCGACGCCAAGCAGTCCAGCACCTCGTACTCCATTCCGTCTGCCCACTTCGCCCAGACGTAGGTCTCGCCTGGCTTGACGGTCATGCTGTCGCAAACCTCAGGCTGAAATCGATCCGCGAATGCATCGCATCTCCATGCGCGCTTGATGCTCTCGTCGTATCCGAACGTGAACGCATCCTCGGGCTCGGATCCCTCCTCGGGCTTGGGCTCCTTATCGGGCTTGGTATCGTCCTCCACGTTGCTCTTCTGCAGCGCTGCCTTCTTCGGCTCTGGGACCTTGCTCTCGTTGGCCATGAGGTTGGTCCACCACGCAGGAGCCCTGCTCGGCGGCTTCTCCTTGCGAGCGAGGCCAGCCGCGTGAAGCAAGAGAGTTCGGAGCCTCAGCGACGCGCCTTTGGCCCAGGACTCAACCTCTCTCAACTTGATGTCGTCCTTCTTGGCCGTGCCGACGTTGGCCATGACCTCCTCCACCACGTGCAGGGCGATCGAGAAGTTCGGCGCCACCTGGGCAAGGATGGGGGCGCGCAGCCGACGACGCGACAGGGCAGATGAGGACAAGCGAGGGGGCAGGGGCAAGAGATGACAAACGTTAAATCAGCAGGCCACCTGGCGAATCGCTCTCAGCACCTCCCCCAACTTCTCAAACCTGCCGCGGTCCAGCATCTCCGATGCCAGGGCGTGCCCGTGCAAGGGCCAGCCTTTGTCATCGACCAGCGGTGTGAGTGCCTCAGTCAGAGCGCCGTTGATCTCCTCACCGTAACGTGTCCTCGGGACTGGCTCTGGTTTGGGCGGGCTCTCGGCTGCGCTACTCTCCATCATTTTGGCCTTCGGGGTCGACGCAGTCATCCTGAGAAACGCGGATCTGGTCTGCGCCGAAAGGATTGAACAAGACCGGCTGCGCGGCTTTGTGTCGTTGCGTTTTGTTGTTTTGTTCTCATTATTTTGCTCGCACCCCCCTTTTATGTCCATGCACGCACTCCTTCTCACAGCGGCCCAATGCGCGCGGCACTGAGGCGGCAATTGCACATTGGACGCGCCCTCCATCCGTGGAGCTGCAGCAATGTTGTAAGCCAATTACGTGTTGCGCTAAGGCGTGAGCTCCATTTTGAATCGCCCTTATGCAAATCCGCTAGAACTGGGGATACATAGCAAATGTTCGCGGCATCGAGGCGAGAATGCCACATTGAGTAACGCACCCCCTCGACACACGTGATTGTTATATACAAAAACTGTCGCGCGTGGCGTCGAGGCGGGAATTTAATGTCAGGTCTTATGCCACCTCCGCCCATCACTCCGCGGCAACCAATGTGCGCGGCGCCATGGCGAGAGCTAGATTTAAAGCAACAGACGGCCTGGACCCAAATCCCTCTTCCAATGGCTGGGCGGGGCGGGCGGCGGCGCCAGGGGCGAACGAAGATCGAGTCGGAAGGACCAGCCGAACACGGAAAAGACAAGAAGGAGAGAGGAGAGGAGAGGGGAAGCAAAAAGAGGAGGAGGAGGGGGGGGAATAACGACGAGGAGGGGGAGAGCAGCTGAGTTTTTATTTTTTGTTGAACGCACGCGCATGCGCATCGAGGAAAAGCAGAGCTGCGATCGACAATATCGCATGCCCTGCCTGAGTGCGATAATCGCACATGGACGTTTTTTTATATAATATATATATAACGTCTAGAATTGAAACGCAAGACGTTAAAATTAACGCATAGACGTTAGGGTTGCGATTTCCAGCGCCTCCGCACCCTCTGGGTTGCGGCTGGTGCGCCCGAGGACCTGCCCGATCTTTACGTTGAGACCGTGGCGGTCCAGGCGGCACCTGTCCGCGAAGTTGCAGCTGGCGCGCGCAACTTGCCTATGCTTCCGCAAGAGCACGCGGTTGCGCGCGCGGTTGGTCCCCCGGCCGCGCACGCCCTTAGTGTAGGTTAAGCGAAGCCACGCGTGCACTAAACGGAGAGGGAGGAAGAGGAGGAGGAAGGAGGACGAGGACGGGGGAAGGACAATGATGATATCTTTCAATGGCAAAGCGGCCACGCGCACCACCCTGAAGGCGCGGGTCCGGCGGGACGCCGCGCCGCCCGCGCGCGCGCCCAGTGGCGCGCGCGCGTTCTGGCACGCCCTGCTGCCGCACGGATCTGGTGCCGAGCGGAGCAGGGTGCACAGGGAGCGAAGCGGGGTGGGTGGGCACCCGAGTCCTGGCTCGAACTCGAGCCAACGACTGCGGACCCAAAATGGCTATGGCAAAACCCCCGCTTCCCTACGCTTAACCTGCAGTCTACCAACATCACAGACTATACAAGTTAAGCGAAGCCACGCGTGCACTAAACGGAGAGGGAGGAAGAGGAGGAGGAAGGAAGACGAGGACGGGGGAAGGACAATGATGATATCTTTCAATGGCAAAGCGGCCACGCGCACCACCCTGAAGGCGCGGGTCCGGCGGGACGCCGCGCCGCCCGCGCGCGCGCCCAGTGGCGCGCGCGCGTTCTGGCACGCCCTGCTGCCGCACGGCCAAAACCAAAAGAACGTAGCCGCGCGCGGGCGAAGGACGCCCGGGCGCGCGACCACTGGCCTGCAAGCCTGAGGCCTTCCTGGAGCGGGCGCCAGGCCGCCCCGGCTGGGCAGCGCCCCGCCGGCGGCGTGCAACGCGCGCCCGAGCTGGCCCCTACGGCCTCGCCCAGGCGCGGGGGGCTAAACGCTCCCCAGGGCCGCGCGCCGCCGGCCCGCCGGCGCGGGATCGCGCCCGCGAAAGGCGCTAGCCGCGCGCGTCGCGCCGGACGCGACATAGAACACGCAGAGAGCGAGCGCGCGCGTGCGAAAGCACACGCGCGAGCTGGAGGTGCAAGCTGGCTGCAGCCCAGAGGACGCCACGTGGCCCGAGCAGCCCGTCGCTCCCCCCGGTCCTCCTCCTTCTAATCCCCGTCGTCGGGCGGTTCCCCTGTGGCGGTCAGCGCGCGGCCCTCGATGCCCCATGCTGCCGGCGAACATGTCAACGTAGGACGATCCGCTCGTCCCCGTCGTCGCGCCCTTCGGCATCCTCGTCGAGTAGGCCCTCGGCTGCCAGCTGCACCTCGACCAGGCCCTCCCGACACCAGGCGGCGTCGCCAGGCAGCTGGCGCAAACGGCCTCGCCGTCCGCCCCGCGGCCCTCAGCGGGCCCCCGGGTCGACCGTCGCGGGATCCGTAAAAGGCAAGCAACGCACCCGGTATGAGCGAGCAAGTGATGCGAGCAATGTAGCCACTGCTCCCTCGCTCGAGCTCGCCCAGCGGCCGCAAGTACTGCGCCACTGCGTCGTTGAACACTGCAATGCCCGTGAGCACCGGCATGTCGTCGAGCACCCGAGCGCCCTTGCAGCTGCGCACGCCCTTGAACACGAACACGTCGCCGATCAGCGCGCCGTCGAGCGCAGGCACGCTCGTGACCTCGTGCGTGCCCCGGGAACTGAGCGCGCGTGTGAACACGACCGCATCCCCGTGGCCCTCGACGAAGAGCAGGTTTGCCGCCGTGACTGCGCCCCTGAGGCTGGTCCCCTCGCGGCCGGGCCCAGCTGGGCCCTGTCTCACGGACGAACATACCTTCGCCGCTGGAACCTCGCCCCAAGGGCTGGTCCCCTCGCGGCCTGGCCCAATCTCGGCGTGGCCATCCACCAACAGGCCGCCCGCCGCTGGAACCCCGCCCCATGGGCGTGTCCCTCCGCGGCCGGGCCCGGCAGGGCCATGTCCCGCGGTAGACTGCGGGTTGTCGCAGGCGGCTGCGGATAAGGTAATACAATCGAAGCACGCCCACTGCAAGTACGGCCCCTCCGGGAGTACCATCACGCAGTGGGGAATGCCAAGAACGTCCGGGAACACCGTCGCGCCGTTGGCCACAGGCACGCCCGTGCGCACCTGCAAGCCGTCGAGCCTCGGGAAGCTCGTGACCTCGAGCGCGCCCTGGGGCAGGAGCGCGGCCGTGAGCCGGACCACCGTGCGCATCTGCATGCCGTCGAGCCTCGACAAGCTCGTGACCTCGAGCGCGCCCTGGGGCAGGAGCGCGGCCGCGAACCGGACCACGTCCTTGAGCACCGCGCTGTGGAGCAGAGCTTCGCCCCCAAGCGCGCGCGCTGTTGAGCACCGGCGCACCTGTGAGGACCCACCTGCCATAGACCAAGGGTGGAACGGCCGCTGGGACTTCGCTCCTTGGGCTGATCCCCTCGCAGCCGGGCCAAGCGGACCCCTGTCCCGCGGCCGGCGCTTGCCAGTCGGGTCTGGCCGGGAGGGCGAGCACGACCACGCCATCGAACGCGACCATCAGCAAGATGGGCCCACGCGAGCCAGTGAACGCAAGCGCAAGTAGCCGTACCTCGCGGGGCGGGGTCGCCATGTCGGGCCTCCCGCCCGGTGGCTGCCCGGGGCGGGCCAGCGCGCCACGGCGTTCCAGGGCGCCCACGAGCATCGATGTGACGTCGAGCACCTGGGCATCCCCGGCCAGGAGCACGCCCTTGAGTACGACCACGTTCTCCGACTCTGACTTTGCCGGCTGGCAGTCCAGGCCGACCGCT